ACATGTACTGTACAGTACTGTGTACAGATGGAACTTACTGTTCCAGCACAGCACGATAGTTTGATCTTCCCGTGCTTCGAGTAGTGTCTGCAGAATGATTTTCTCAGAGTAGTAGTCACGATCCTTGATCACAATTTTCAGGTCGTCAGCCTGAGCTTGAATCTGACGATGCAGCTCTTTTCTTCCAATATTCCCACTTCAAAATTCAAGTTAGTTTTTCACAACGAACCCGGTAATACCGGTACCAATGACAGTACTTGTAACCCACCCAGTCCAAACTCCCCGCACGAAGCTGCACGGGCCTTGCAATAGCAGCACATTTACCAGTGCGCCATCTTTCGAGCTCACAATACCTTCTGTACGCGAGGTTTCCTCCATCACTTTGGGGTCCTGAGCAGCTCTCGTTACTGGAGGCTGCAGCACCCGGTCCTTTCTCTCCTTTTCTTGCTCTCGGGTGGGCGTCCTTCTGTTGAAAGCAGCAGCACTTTCCTCTACACTGGACGACGAAGTGTCGCCCCCGTACTCTGCCACCTCTTCCCCGAATATTGTCGACATCTCTACATAACATTAATGGTTACTATTGAAAAAAACAAAAGCATTTTTATAACTAGCCCGCATACCATTATGCAGAAGATCGATATCATGCTGTGCCTCCGCTTGGTGCGAGGCCGCTGCGCGCGTGGCATCGTCCAGCGTCAGCTGCTTGGTGGTCGACGCGACCGCGTCGACTCGACGGTCGAGGGCGTTCAGGTCGATCTCGAACGGATTGGACTGCGGTTTCGCAGCTGCGGAAGACAGACAACGCCATGTGCGAGGTTGTAGCTGCAACGAAGGCGACGGGAATACGCCGAGGCGCCCACCAGCGCCAGTCAGAGCCTGCACGATCCTTCGCATGCTCCCTCTTTGAAAGGCTTGAAGCAATCGAGATTGACCGTCGGTATACCGGTGAAGACAGGTACCGGTAGGAGCTGTTTGATTGAGGTGAGAGCAGTATCTCCAGGGTACCGGTATCCGATATGACCAGTACGTAATGCTGTTGCTGTTGTGTAGACTGTTGCTGTCAGGATAATTGGGATCGGGTGAGCTCGAGTTCAATGTTGCATTAATGATTTCAGTGAGTCGATCGGTGACTGAGTTTTCATATTTGTCGCAATAATGCAGATGATCGACATCAATTGCAAGGATGTGCTGAGCGGAGTAGCCGCGGTGCTCGCTCGTAAGAAATGTGTCTTAAGTGGGTGCAAAATCATGCTGCATGAATCATGCATCGTAGATGTTTGAGACTTCAACAAACTCTGGTAAACCGGTATCGGTATCATTTTACCGCCCAACACATGAGTAGCAACACGCAGTTGAGTGGCAAGGTGGCGGTGATCACTGGCGCTTCAGGCGGCATCGGTGCAGGTGTGTAGCCCTAATACGTATCTGCCTGTATATCTTCTACCTCCTCCCTAAATTTTGTCTCGTAACTCGTCGTAGCCATCGCGCTGGAGCTTGCGACGGCAGGTGCAAAGGTCGCTCTTGGGGCTCGACGTCTGGAGGCGCTGGAGATAGTCAAGGCGAGCATCGAGCAGAAGCTTGGAGCCAACGGCAACGTCCTCATCGTGCAGACAGATGTCACCAAACGTGAGGCGGTGCAAAACCTCGTGACCAAAGCGGAAGATACTTTTGGAGCTGTCGATATCCTCGTCAACAACGGTACAGAGGTCGTCACTGCCGTCTTAATGCTCCTAATGAACCTAATGCCTTCGTGTTGACTGCAGCCGGTGTGATGCCCTTTGAGCTCTTGAAAAATGTGAACCAGGACAGCTGGGAACGGGTAAGCCGAGCTGTAGCCACTTACGACTTGAGGTTTCTAATTTCTTAACGCTGTGCAGACGATCGACATCAACTGCAAGGGAACACTCAACGGTGTGGCGGCTGTGCTACCAAACATGTTGGCTCGTAAGAGCGGCCACATTGTCAACATCTCGTCGGACGCTGGACGCAAGGTGTTCCCTGGATTGGGCGTTTATTCGGCGTCCAAGATGTTCGTCGAGGGCATTTCGCAAGCTTTGCGTCTTGAGAACGTCGGTAGTGGACTCCGTGTGACGTCCATTCAGGTGCGGTAGTCTATTAGAAACTGATGGAAGACGAGGACTCACGTGTTTACTTGCAGCCTGGTAACGTCGCCACGGATCTGGTCAAGCACGCGAATGCTGCCAGTGGCGTGGATGAAGAGGCCATGAAGCTGTACGGGGGGCCATCCGGTATGGATTCTATGTTGCACCTCTATATTTTTCCTACTTACTGTGTCGTGGTTTCTACTGATCAACGTATACCATTGCTGAATACTCTACAGAGTGCGAGGTTCTCAAACCGGAAGATATCGGTCGAGCTGTGCTGTATGCTGTCACACAGCCGCCATACGTGGCTGTGAACGAGATTCTGGTGGAGCCGCGCGATGAACCCATTTAGAGAGACCAGGCAGAGTCTAGCAGAGCTCCAAGCCGTAGACAAGACTCTCCAGCTCGTCCTCCATTTGTCGTGCCGCGTTTTCTAGGATACCCGAATCGTAGAATGACGCTGTCAGTTTCCTATGATTCTCTTCGCTCTGCTTGTCCTCGTCTTGTCCAAATGCGCACAGACACGCGATGGGTAGACCACGAGCACAGACGCTGATACCGATAAAGAAATGCATGCGTAGGTGCTGCACCATCGGAATCTCTCGAGTCCGTGGATCAGCGAGGCAGTCCAAGACCACCAAAGGCTGGTTTGGAGGCTGACAAAGCACAAAATCGCACAGAGACTCGCGACGTAAGATCTCGTCTTGTGCTGCTAGATCGCGAGTACCAACGGCGTGTTCAATCAGCACGTACTCGGCGTCCACCCGGGCAATGAACGCAGCATTTACACCAAACGCAGCGGCAGCGAGTTCACAGCTTCGATGCATGAGCATGCGGTCAACCAACGTGCATGCAGGAGACACGATGACTTCTAGAAGCTTGAGTCGCTCTTCTTCACGATCGTCATCCAATCTGGGCAAGAAATAAGCTTCGTCAGCGATGGAATCCTGGTCCAATAGACCCACATTGGAGCTCATCAGAGATGTTCGTCGATGGTCGAATCTCCTCAAGTCTTCTTCTTCTCGTTCCTTCGAGTCAACAAGACGGTAGGACGACATGAAAGATCTGTCGGCTGAGCTGTAGCTACTTGCTTCGGCTGCTAGAGGGATCGGCTGAGCCATTCTGCGAGACCTTGACGCCATAGCTACGGGATGTAGGAACGATCTGGACACTGTATACCCGGAGCGAGGCGCGTCGACTCCAGAGTATGACGCCTCAGTGACCCCTTTGTACCCTCCGTCCCAACCAGAAAAGTTTATACTTGATTCGACGCTGTTCGAGTCGAGAGCTTGCAGCGACCAGATACTCTTCATACTTGACGTCGTTGATGGTACTGCTTGCCACAAGTTCTTGGTACTACGAGCGATAGATTTGATCGAGATAACCTTACTGTTGACACTTGCCACAAAGCGACCAGGTAGTGCTCCAATGTAGCCATCGCTTTCAGTACTGTCGAACTCATGGGTACGATCACTGTCTTCGAACGGGTCCATCGTAGCTGGACCCGTCAGTAACAAGTCCACTGAGCGTGGAGGCAGCATGAAGTCTTGACCTGCCACAAGCTTCAGACTTGGCGGAAGAGCCCGCAACGAGAGCGGGAGATCGAATTCTGACTCCGACTCCAACATAGGAGTCGGTTCTCTTCGTTGACGAGAAGGTGGCGCTCGACTGTTATAGTTGCTGCTGTGGTGATTGTTACTTGAAAACCCGCGTGAGCTCGTCTTAAGTCGAGCTTTGTTGTTGCAGAGATGGCAGATGCGAGTCTTCTGTACTTCTTTCGTTCTCGCACTGACGATGTTGATGGAACGGAGCGAGCAACACGAGCCACAAATGACTTCTCCGCAGAGTCGACAGTGATGACGTCGACGGAAAATGGCGTTGAAATGTTTCCAGCAAATGACACAGCTCGCTCTGTCCTCGTTCTTCACCCATTGGTGTGGCGCTACCAGTTGACAGTCTCCAATCCTGGATGCTGCTACAGCCGACTCGAGTCTTCCAACCGATCGCATTGCTAGACGCCGCGCGATGGCTCGTGCGGCTCTGGGCGAGCCAGCCAAAGGACCGTCATTCTCGTCGTGGAAAGAACTCGTCACGCACGATAGACGCAAGCGGTTAGGAGAGATCTCCTCGACGATAAGAGTGTACTGCAGATCCACCTGTTGCGCCGTCTCCAGCATCGCTTCATGCGAGCGAGGGAACGGCAACCAACTTAACGCGATTGTGCGCTTGTGTACACCATCGGACGGACGGGCACTTAATCCAGCCATTGACGAGTTAGCCGACATGGACGCCGCTGCGCTGTGGTAGTCGTGCTCTTGGTGCTGGTTGTCGGGAAGAAAAATCTTGAGAGTTTGAAAGAACGTCAAGTGCTGTTCACGCAGCATCACGGACTTGCGGCGGTCTTGATAGACGAACCAAACTGCTGCATGCTGGGTGTCCATAGTCCAGTCGCTTATGGAATGTTTCTTTGTTCGTGTGGAGAGTAGAGTGCCGTCTTTGAAGTCGCGACCGTGAAGGAGCTTCATCATGAGGCGGAATTGCTTGGTTGAGTCGAAATGCAGTAGATCGAAGGCTTCCTCGAAGCCGCACGAGGCCTCGTTGACAGCTAGATAATACACAGAAGTCCCGTTGCTCACACCTTGACCCGTACGTTTAGCGTACAGCTCCTGCTGCTTGTCACGACGCAGACACGTCCACTGTTCTTTCGTTCGCGTCGAATTGAGACATACACCCAGTACGTCCGTGATTTGCCTCGTAGCACGGTGGTGCATCCTGCGAGTCTGCGCTCGGTCATGTGATAAATGCACGGCGGACGCCATGCCAGTGATCGTTTCTGGTGGTTGTCAATCTCTGAAAATGGCTGCCCCTACTAGGACGGCGGGGTGGATTGGATACGACGAGTTCAGCTGACGCGGGAAGCTTTCCAGCTCTTTAGTCAAGGATACCCGGGCTTGGAGTCAGAACACTTTTTCACAACCTAGATAACGCGACGAAACCGGGAAAGGCTCTTATAATAGGAAGGCAGGACGTCCTGCTAAAAATCTGGTTGTGGAGAAGCTTGTAATGGTCTAGCTAGATGGATGGCTATCCCTACGCCGCGAACGGCAGCCGTGTTCTCGGTCTCCAATATTTGCCCCAAACCAACCCGATGGCAGAGACGGCTGGACAGCCTGGAGTGTTTGCTGTCTCACCGGCTGGTTAAGATCAAAGCACAAGACTCGGAATGCCAGACCAGCTACAGTAGTAGCGGAGAAGCTAATCCGGTGTAGGCTACGCTGTAGCTCTGCTACAGCGTAGCCTACACCGGATCAGCTTCTCCGCAGCCACATACGGAGGAAGAGCCACGAACTTGTCGCGGTATTCCTGAGAATCACCGTGGCTAGAGTTAGCCGCAAGTGACGAACTTGACATCTATGTACTTTTACTCGCAACTTGCTGTGTGTAAAGGCTGCAGTACAATAGCGCAGCTGTGTTCGCATCGACGTAAACGACCAGTTTTAAGCGCGTGCTAAGGTCGTCATTCCAGCACTTCCCAGCTTTTCCTCCTGGCTGTTGCGTCGTTATCGTCCTTGGTCTGCCCGTCAATGTCTGCGGCACATCGCGTAGCTTCGCACGTACATGTACAAAGGGTCTGTTAGGAAATTAATGTTATTTTTCCTTAATAAAGGTGCCATCTTCTTTTGTCTCTAGCGTATGGATAGCGCTGGGTGCTCATCACTATCGCGTTGTCCATAAATGCATGTTGAGTGCCTTCGCAGCTTAGCAGGCGACCCTGACATCAACAAGGTTGCCTTGTACATGTACCGGTATAATAGGAAGTGCAATGCCTTTTAAGGCGAGACAAGAGATCGTGGCCCAGAGTACTACCTGTACGCTACCAACGTATCCCAGCCCAGACAGAACCTTTGACAGGCACGTTAATGCTGAACGCGTTCCCAACCATACGACAGCCATCCACTTGTCGCTTGCCTGGTCGGCTACCATCCGCCATACACATTGGCTACCATCCGCCATACACATTACCAATTTCACTCATTACTTCATGTAATAATAATAGTCGAAGTGCCAGAGAGGAAGCAAAGGCTTGTGCGGTCAAACGCAAGCTTCCAACGGTCTTGTTCCGGTGGTGACGCGCTATATAAGGCTGCAATACCCATATTAATACTGGTCAGCTCGGTAGGCTGGCTACACGTATTACCATACATCGAAATATGCGCTGGTGGCGCCTCGCTAAGCTAGAAGTATTGGTACCGGTACCATGCATCTCTGCTGTAATTTTCAGCACTCATCATGCCTGGGTTGGGATTTCACATGTCAATTAACCGAATTTGCGCGCAATCGGACTTTGATTCACGATACCGGTAAAAAAGCTTTTTTGCTTTTTTTTGCTTTGTGACCGTAATCATCGGACACACCTTTCAAACAGTACACGTACTGGACCGCCATCCCGGGCCGGGATGGCGGGATTCCCGGCAAAAAAAGCTTTTTCCAAAACAAAGCAGCTTTTTCTTAGCCCCCTTTCTTCCCTCTTTGCACTTGCAGCAAACCTTGACTGGCCTACAATTTGAAAGGAAACTGTACAGTATTAATAGACTGGCTGCATGCCATGAGTGCAAGTTGTCACGTGACGAGGCTGCCTGCGCATTGGCCATTCCAATCTTCAGTTTCCGCCGCGACAGCGCAAACAAAGCAACTGAAGATATCAGACAAAAGCAAGTCTCACGTACTCGTAGAGTACTGTACTGTAGGTCTCAGCAATGAATTCCCCACTGAGTTGCGCGATTGGAATCAGCTTTTGTTAAGCAACTTGTTTGAAACAAGTGCCAATTCGTTTGGAAGGTAATACCTTCTTATATATTACATGTAGCCTTGCTCGAAACAGGTCTGCAAACTCTGCGGCGCAAACGTCAGGCTCGATCATTTACCGTGCTGCACGAGCGGGTTCGTGACTCCAGGGTTGTCCGCGATAGCCGGGGCGAGCGGCGAATAAAAGGCAAGTCTTGCCTCGCGTCCGGCAACAGGTGCCTTTCCCGCACAGCGCAAATAATCCTGAGCGTCGGAAATACGGCACGAAAACTCGGTAAGGACTCTTGCCTACATACCGGTACTACTGTACAAAGAGAGCATCTAATTGCACTCGAAAACTGTGCTCGTAAAAGATGAAGGCAGACTCTCCGCGCGAGCGGCATTAAATTTATATGCCTTTTCACTGTTCTTTAAAGTAATTTAAGCTTGCAATGGAAGGCGGTGGTCGTCGGGCCCGCAAGGTGTTCTCAAGTAGGACCACCTAGGTTCGAGTTTCCTCCCGCTTAAGTGTTTCAAAGGACTCTTCTCCCATCTTGTTCGCTTAGTGTTGTCAAATTTGCGGCTTATTTTATGGATAACGGACGACACTTAATCAAGAAGACATCTGTTGAACTTCAGCTCACCGCTCGATGTGATTGGCTGGCCCTTCTCGCCATCATCCACAGAAACCATTTTCGTCCGATCGTGTCGGAGTTGCGTGATTTGTGCTGGAACCAATCAGCGTTTTTAGCACTGATTTTTACCAATGGTCGATCGGATCTGCCCATTCTGCTTTTTATATCTGTTCTTTTGCCTTCCCTTCCAGAGATGTGCTTTTTTCCACGGGCGACCTTGCCGACCACCATTTTGAAATCCTCTGCGGAAAAAGGACTCCTCGGCTCGGGCGCGATCAAAGCTACTTGCATTGGGCGAGCGGCATCGTTGAATCGACCGACGATCTTCCATCTGTCTCCAAGTCTCTCACCACCGTGACAAACTGCTTCGTGCCTCGTTGTTGCACTTTGCACTCGAGACATTGCACTACCATCTGAATATTGCCGAAACCAGTCGAAGCAAGTGCCACGCACATTTCGACCAGTGTCGTTTCGCGACTAGAGCTACGACTGACTGCTTGGTGTTGGACCATAGCCTTCCAGTCGTTTTCGTACCTTCATTCTGCTTCGTGGCGAGTCGTTCCTAATTTGGATCGCAATAGCGCCGACCGATAGAGAACGCTAAAGATCGCAAAACTCATCCGATGAAGAACCCCGTAAGTCCCATCGAGGAGAGCAAGACGGCCATGTGCCTGTCCCCACAAGAGAAACTAAAGAGCGCGGCAGTACAGCGCAACAAGCGTTCGCATGCTGCAGGTGTGCTGGCCGGTGCCGGTGACGCGAAGAAGGCACGTCTGGACGACATGTTCAAGAACGAGTTCGAAGTCGACCTGGACGGATGGATCAGTGACGACTACGTGCGTGCAATGGACTTTGACGACCGACTCAATCAGGATATCGACTGGGTGGGCCACGACGATATGGACCTGGCGCTGAGCATGGACGCTCTGGCGCAGGACCACACGACTAGCGACGACGTCAACGACTTCTCTTCGTTCCTGCGCGGCGGCTTGGCCTTCGAGGACCCCGCGGACATGGCTTCGACCTTCGGTTAGTTCTTTGCTCTTTCTGTTTGATGTTGCTCTTTGCAATGCAAACCGAAATCGACACGCGATCATGGCGTGCCTAGTGGCTGAGACGAACACGTGCTCATCCTTTGCCCGTTTGATGCGTTGATTGCGCCTATAGTTGATCCGGCCTACATCCACTTGGAGTCGAGCACCACCAAGGACGCCGAGAAGCTCCTCATGAGCTTCGACACCATGAACTTTAAGATCCCGTCGCCTACCAGCACTTCAAGCAAGAAACGTAGCAGCATCTTTTTGGACAAGGACACTGAACCGAAACAGGTTAGTGACAAGACCACGACGACAACAGGAACCTCTGCCAGCTCTCTTGCAGCCAACTCGGCTGCTGCTGAAGAGCTACGCAAGGAGCAGGCTCGTGTATCTGCAGCAAGCAGCTCCACGTCGGTGGACTCGCTTCTCAGTGTTCTTAACGTGGGATCGTCCACATCCAAGCAGAACTCGACCGAGAAGAAGATTGGCTCGTACAGCCCGGCAGCACGCAAGCTGCGTCTTCAGAAGTTCCACGAGAAACGCAAAAACCGCACGTGGAAGAAGAGTATCAAGTACGATTGCAGGAAAAAGCTAGCCGACGACCGTCCGCGTATCAAGGGGCGATTCGTGCGCGTACTGGAGAACGCCGGCGACGCTAAGACTGGCACGGCTTCGCGCAGTGCGTCACCACCGGGCTCGCTGTGTGCTGGGTACGCGTCTCCTACCTCTGTCCCCGGCGTGATGGCTCCACCGGCCATGACGCCGGCAGCCAAACCCCAGGTGTCGGCTGTGCCTCGAGTGACTGCAACGTGTGCAAAGCAGCAGACCCCAGTATCCAAACCCGCGCCAGTACCGACAACACCGGCAACCAACGCAGCAGCATTACCATTCGCCCGTATGATCGCGAGCGTGTGACGTAGTTGTGTGTTTGAGGTCGGATGTATGACAAGCTTCGCAATGGGGCGAGACTAAGTATGATATGATAGTGTAGACAAAAGCTGGTTTTGGCGCAGTGTGGCCGAAGCTAAAGACATCGCGGACGAAAGGAATATAACACCAATCGCAGAGGTGAAAACACACCCAGCGCAGCGCGGCATTTGCCGTCTGCAGCACTGCCAGCGGTTGACGCACCAACGAGCCGCGAGCCCTGTATCGAGGCAGCGAGCCGGGCTAAGCCCTCAACCATGCGATGGTTCGTGCACCAGCACGCACACACAACCACCGAAACGTGTGATGCCCATCGGGTGTCATTGGTTAGAGAGAGCCACAAAGAGAGCCGTTCTCGTCAGTGCCGACTTGCATTTCCGGTGGTCTCTGCTCGATGCACCTTGCTGGGTACGGTAAAGAAGGATCCTTGAAGCATGCAAAGAAAACACTTTTCCAGCCCATTTTCCAGTGGTGACACGTCCCGACGCAACGCACAACAAAGACACGCAATGTCGGCTCGTAGTATTTAACAGAACCAAGCACTCTTCTCATCTGATTTTCACAAAAAGCGCTTTCTTCAGCACTTTTCTGAGATGTGGCAGCAATAAAAATGTGACGGGACTGCACCGATTAATAAAAGTTGCTTTTCCAAGCACCTTGACATGAATTCGGTGAGGACGCACACAGCGATACGCGCGTTTAACACGTCGACTGCGGAGATGTTGTTGACAATGATATTTCACTCGGGTGTATTCAGCTGCTAGCGGCAAGTGACGTTAAATGGGCTCAAGTTTGTTCAACCGATTTCCGACATCATGTCGAGCGGTATAGTTTATCGGCCTGTACTGCTGCGCTTTGTACATTCATGTACCTTACTGTTCACTGTCATTCCTATCATGGCATGCTCAACGATCTTAACCAGCAACAAATTCAAAATACCTACTTCTTTCGAAATTGATCAGGGTGTTTCAAACATCCTTGGGAATTCCAATGGAATCCTCCATTAAAAAGCCCTTGCTCGAATGTACATAAGTAGATCACTGATCCAGTCCGACGGCAGTGTCCACTCAATTGACACAGGCAAAGCGATCATGACTAAAAGAGACGTTCAATCTCGACACTCGCACTCTAATAACACTGAAATTCAGAGACATCTGCCCGAGAAATGCCAGTGGCAATGCCACTGGCACAGCGGCTGCAGGACCACACTCGCTCTTAGTAAACCGCACATAAATTCTTCTTATTTTACCCAATCGGCGCTTCTTCTCCATCCCACTAGAGACCAAGGCCGGACCACGCACTTATATAGCCTTGGGACAGTCACTCCCGCCGCTATGAGCAGCTCCAACGCCTGCCGCTTCTTCCAGTCGCCGCAGGGATGCTTCCGTGGGGCCTCATGCACCTTCCGCCATGACGGCGAGGCGGCCGCAAGCGACGTCCCGTTAAGCGCCGCCAATCCTTACGTCAATGGCTCAATCCCCACGCCCACGCCCACTCAACCGCGCCCGTGTCACTTCTTTACGTCGGAGAATGGCTGTCGCAATGGAAGCAACTGCCCATTCGTGCACGCTGCCGCGGAGACCAGCGGCCCGGAGGCGCCCGAGTTTGCAGTCTACGACGAGATGTCGCCTCCATTACCGCAGGACTTTCCCGTGGCGATGGCCAGTGGTGGCGCTGTCTTTTACAACCACCCTGGACTGCCACGGCCCGTGAGGATGGTGTCAACTGAGCCAGACGATGAGAATGCGGTGGCCAAGCCAAAAAGGAAACTGCAGATTCAGGCCAACCCCCAGAAAAAAGAAACGATCAGCGAGATTTTGCCAGTGCTGACAAGGGACATCGAGGGGCCGGTGAGGCAAAAAGGAAACACTTTTTTTCCCTTTTGGATACAGGATTGACGGCGTTTGTCACTTTTTCAGTTTTTCGCGATTGACGTCGAGTGTGTTGCCACGGGCAGTGGCACGAAGTGCGTATGGGTTGATTCTTTTCATGTTGAAGTTGTTTTTGACACATTTTTTTGCCAGTGACCGTGATGTAGCGCGTATTGCCGTGGTGGATGAGGACGAGAAGGTAGTGTTCGACCAGTACGTCAAACCTACCAAGCCCATCGTAAGTTACCTCACACAGCTTACAGGGATCACAAAGAGGTAAGTCAATTTGAGAAAAGAAAGTGAAAAAAAGTTGCCGATTACTCACTCTGTTATTGCAGTAATTTGGAGGATGCACCAGATCTAGAAGAAGCTCTCGTTCGCTTAAAGGCAATTCTGCCGGTGGAAAGCGTTATTGTGGGTCAGTCCATCAAGAAGGATCTAGAGTGGCTCACGCTTCAGAAGCCTACGGACTACAAGGGCGAGTTTGACGTGGCTGACCTGTTCCGACTACCCATGCAGTCGACCAACGGAGTGGTGCGCTATCGCTATTTTTCGTTGCGTCACGTGGCCAAGTATCTGCTTGGTCAGGATATTCAGGAAGCAGATCACGACCCCGTAATTGATGCTCGGTATGCCATGAAAGTGTTCAAGAAATTCCGTCATTTGCATGAGAATCCGGGCCGACGTGACGCCGTGTTGCAGACTCTTCTGAAGACGCCACGCACCCCGTCTTTTGCAGAGCGATACCCTGTGATCGACGGCGTTTCGATGCGTGCACCGCGGAAGCGAAGCACGTCGCCTTCAATCCGAAACGCCAATCGAGCTGCGACCGAACAAGCGCAACACGCCACAAATGGAGGGTACAACCTCCACTATCAGCAGCATGGACAGCAGCCGCTGTATTTGTGAAAATAGCACCAAGAGAGCAATACACTTGAGCCAATTCAAGCTTGCCAGTTCAATCCCCAACGTCGCCCACTTTGCTGTTTTAAGTTTTCCTCATCGTAAAAAGTGTTGGCATGGGCTGAAAAAGTTGCCACTGTTTTTTTTTTGTATCATTTTTAAGGGTACTGTACTACTGTTTTATCATTCAGATTAGAGATCGCTATCCTCGGATTCGTGTTTATCATCATCATCATCGGAGCTAACATCGTCCAGGTCCTCCGCTCTCTCGGCTTCCTCAGCTTCCAACGCCGCCATGGCTGCAACTCTTGCAGCTTCAGCAACTGCTGCGCTCTCTTCGTCGTCGTCATCGCTATCGTCTTCACCCTCGCGTGCCATATTCGTCACCAAATCGTCGTATCCGTCGTACGAAACCTCGCTGATCTCGCTGTTGTCGTCACTTGCCACGTCTTGATCCTCGTCGTTACCGCCACTCTCCACCTTCTCTTTCGCATTCCTGGTGACGCTCTCAGGCGCTGCTGCCGCACCCTCTTCATCCACACCGCCCAGTTTGTGTCGAAGGATCTCCCGTTGATACCGTTCAAAAGCGCGTCCTCCAACGCCATCCCAAGGACGACGCCAGCCCATAGCAATAGCCTTATCGCGTTGCTGTCGAACGAGTCGTTGCCGCACCGTAGCGCCCACTTTCTCAAGCAAAATCTGTTCCACCTCGTGTCGAAATGCGGCGTGGCCTTGACCCAGTCGCGCTTTGCCGCGTTCCAGTTCCTCGATGTCTTCTCGAACACGAGCTTCGGCGAACTCAAACTTCTTTCGCCTCGCGATCCTGGCCTTCAGCTCTCCCAGCGTCTCTGCTTTCTTCAATGGAGCCTTCTTGCCAGACTTGGCTGCTTTATCGGCAACACGCTGCATCTTCTTGTCCAGTTTCTCTTCTCTCAAATGAGCTTTTGCCAGTGGCTTCAACTTGGCTCGATGACGCTTCAGCTGCTTCGATAGAGCGCGTAGATGGACACGTAACGCATCCTTGGCGGTGCGTACTTCGCGTTGGAATCGCGTTTCACCTTCTGGAGTCTCAAGGAAGGCGCGGATCTGAGGGAGTAAAGCGTCTTGAGCTTCTTGCAGTCTCTTCTCGTCCATCTCTCGACGTGCGACTTCTTCTTCAGTGTACAACACACGCACAACTGTCCACCCTGGTTGCTCGCATGGATCGTGCATTTTACCAAAGCGTAGCAGCTCTTCACAGCCACAACGCATGGGTACACAAGCGTGGGCAACTCCAACAGGTCCGTACTGACCGACATACTGATCTAAGGCACGCTCTACATCGCGTAGTGTGCGTCTGTTCTCAACGAAAGACTCAGGTGGAAACCCTCGCTGTGTTCGAGTTTGAATAACTTTCAAGACGCTGGGGAGCTCTCTACCGGAACTTAAAGGAGCTCGAATTCTCCCATCGTCAGCTTTGTAGTCGTCAGGGAAGAGCAAAGAGCCTCGTACCATGTAGACGCCAACGAGTTCACCTTTACGTCCCCAAGGTCGTAACATATCGTACCTTAGATCGGTCTTGTCTGCCCAACGTTTCTGACGAATTAATGCGAGCAACTCATGAAGTTCTTCGAGAATTGTGCGATGATGTCGTTGTGCTAACTCGAAATGTTTCCGAAGTAACAATTCTTGAAAAATATCGACACCTCGACGGAATAATGGACCCGTTCCAATTGGTGGAGGAGGGAGGTAGAACGCACCGTTCAAGTAGCGATCAACTGCGCGGTCAAAGGCTGTAAGATGGTTTGCCGATAAGAACGGTAGACTCGTCAACGGCACGTCTGGAGGAAGGAGATGACGCATGATAGGCTTGTCGAAAGTCTCCCGATCGAAGTCCAGACCCAGAGCATTTAGTAACGCGGTGAGTTCGTCTACACGCTGTTGACGTTTGAGTAGATACGAGCGAATAGAATTCGCTCCAAGACGCATAATTTCAGCTGGTGGAGAGCGGAACGGATTGCCGTCACTTTCTACGATTTCCAGCGCTGAAAGTGTTGCACCAAAACTCAACGGAAGACGCTCGAAGCGATTGCTCTGCATCTCAAGACGCTCGAGTGTTGCACCTAACAGTAGCACAGCTGGTGGGAATTCGACGAGCATATTGCCAGCAAATGTAAGTTCTCGAATGGGTGGCGTACCACCACCGGAAGTTCCCATTCCACCCAGAGACATTGGCAATTCTACGAGTCGATTTCCACTCAGACGCAACACTTGTAGGCGTGGCAATTGTGAAAAATCCAAGTCGTCCACTGTCTCGATGTGGTTAAAGGATAGGTCTAATCTCTCCAGAGCTCGAAGGGAGGATATGGCTCGTGGACCCTTTGTTAGTTGGTTGTGTGCAAGTTGCAGGTCCGTCAAAGCATTGGCCAGCCCATTTAGCGACTCTGGTAGCGATGTGATGCAGTTGTGACTTGCGCGTAGTACCTGAAGCTTCACGCAATTAGTAAACGTATCTGGCAGTGTCTCCAGTCGATTGTAGCGAAGATCTAGACTCTCTAAACTCGTTCCAAGTCCCAGATTTATTGTAGCATTCTGCGTTCCAATCGACCCAAAAACTTCAGGTTTTATGACTCGAATTTCGTTTTGCCGAAGTTGTAACAATCGTAACTTCGTGAATGTCCCGAACCCCGCAGGTAAAGTGCCCAAGTTTTGCCCGGAAAGTCGAAGCTCACGTAGATCTGGCACAGCTGTGAAGAATACACGAGGTAGTTCAGGAGCCTCGAGACCGCGCCAGTGCAGTGAGAGCGTGTGTGTTTCCTGAGCAAGTTCAACGGCTCGAGCGACTTCGCGGTTAACGTGCAGGTCGGTACTCCAGCACTCAGCGCCAACGCCAATTAGTCGCGCTCGTGGCTCTGGTGGTCGTGATCCTCCGTGTTTTTCGCACTCAATCTGGTGCTCTAGTTGCCATCGTATCTCTGCCAAGTTCCCACTTCGTAAAGACTCGATAGCAAAACCCGCAGCTAGTAGTGGAACATTTCCCGATAACCGCAATGTAACAATCCGTTTCAGAGCTAGAAAAGAGCGGGGGAGTGTCTCTAACACATTGGAGCTTGCATCAAGCACACGAAGCTGTTGCAAGTCTCCTAGACGTTCTGGTAAGTCTCGAAGACGATTTAACTTGATGTCGACGTCAGTGAGGTTAACTAACTTCGAAAATGACGGAGGTAATGTTGCTAGCCCGTTCATACCAAGTTTCAGTGTCTCAAGCGCCTCGAGACCTTGTAAAACGTCAGGGAGAGTTAATAACTTGTTGTTCTCCGCTTCTAGACGCTTTAACCGCTTCAGTTTGCCGATCGAAGGCGGGAGATCCAGTAGCTCATTGCCGGATAACACGAGTAATTGCAAGTGATCGACTCCATCCCAGCGATCAAGTGCCGGCGGGATCGTTGCATAGTTTTCTTCAGTGCAATGATTCACAAATTGTAGCGCTGTTGAGGTGTCTGACGCACTTGGTAGGACGATTTCCCATCCATCCGGATAACTCTTCAGCAACGCTCGCTTATCCTGTGTCGGACCTTGATTGCCGAGTTGAAGCCTTGGAATTCGTACTTGGAAACACTTGGGTTTGGCGCGAGTCATACGCTTCGACTGCAAGTGGAAATACACTTTGTTGTTTGAAATCGGATCTACTTCTACTTTCCATTGCTTACGTTCAGCTTCGTTCTCCTCTTCTGTGGGTTCTTTGTCGTCTTGCGGATTAGTCTCCGTGTCATCACGCCTCCGAAAAAAATGAGGTCTAGTTGCAAGCGTCACAAGACGATTCCCAGCCAGAAGAAGTGTCTGCAGTTTGCGTAGGGCCATCAGTCCACAAGGTAGCAGCTGGAAGTGGTTGTAGCTCATGTCCAAAGTGACTAGTTTTGTCAAAACATGCAATTTTTGAATATCTTGCAGTCGATTTCGACTCGCATCGAGCGTCTCTAGTGTGTCCGGTAGGTCGGGAAGTTCAGCAAGTTGGTTTCCAGAGATATTTAACACTCGTAAGTAGCGCAAGTCTCCAAGTGCACGTCGTGGTAGTCGTGCCAATGCGTTCTCCTTGCAAATCAATGTATCCACTTCTGGGAATGTTTGGACAAAACTATCAGTAAGTTCACGTAGAGCGTTGCGAGACACATTGACAGTTCGGATCGTGCGAGCTAGTTGCAGTAACAGCGTCGAAAACACAGCTGCTCGTGAAATATGAACAAGTTCCAATGCCTTGAGATTCAGTTCTTGGGACCCATAGGAGCGACGTATTGCAGCTAGGATCTGTGTGTCCAGATGCTCACGATGAGCTGCTTCACGAGCCTTCTTGTTTGTAGACTTAACGGGGGATGTATCGTTGGATTTACCCTTCGCTAGTTCACGTTGACGCTCAATACGAACACTCATCGAGTTGAGTGTCGGAACTCCGCAAGTTGCAAGTCTCGTCTCAGCGAAATTGGATGTGAATCTACGATCCTGTTGCTCTCGTTCAAAGGTTTCTTCCTGTGTAATTCGGAGCTGTCGATGGCGTTCGTTTAGTGTGGCGATGGTGGTTCGAGCAGCTCTGTAACTTTTCCCAGCAGCTTCGTACTCCCGAGCCATATCAATGTGAGGAGGTTTGCGTTGGAATCCACAGCCCCGTTTAGCGACTGGATTAGTACCTCCCTTGTAGAGGAATCCATCACCGTCGTCTTCAGTGGTCAGAGCACGTGGAAAACGACCAGCCAAAGTCGTCGGTGGATCGATGATTGTTGCAGGAACATGGTACTTGGAGGATGAAGAAGAATTCATTGTTTGTTTCGCCATTAAAAAGGAAGCTTCAAAGTATCAGTAACAGTACATGAGATGCTACAGATTTTCTCGTTCTCAACTCCTTTCTCTATTTTCGTTTTGTCTGCCACTTTCCAGTTGCCCTCGTGATCGTGCAATGGAAAAATACGTCAAGGTGCGTAAGATTGGTCAAGGGAGTTATGGAAGTGCGTTCTTGGCGACGAGGAAATCCGCAGATGCAAGTGAGCAGAAGCAGCAGTTTGTGATCAAAGAAATCGTGCTGGACCCTCGCGACCAGGCGAATGCTCAACGAGAAGCTCGACTACTAGCAGCGCTGGATCATCCCAACATTATCGCTTGCAAAGAGAGCTTCTTACTAAAGCCATCGACCTCCAGTTTAGCATATCTTGGACGTCATCAACAGCGTCCTACGGTCTTGTGTATCGTGACGGAGTTCGCAGACGGCGGAGATTTGAGTAATGAACTCGAGAAAAGAGCCAAACGCCGCGCGGTTTTCGAACCGGACGAGCTACTTGGTCTGTTCGTGCAGGTTTGTCTTGCACTTAAACATCTTCACGACCGTAAAATTCTGCATCGCGACGTGAAACCGGCCAATATTTTCCTTACGAAGGCAGGTGTCGTGAAAGTTGGAGATCTGGGCGTTGCCACAGTGCTAAGCCACACGTTGGCGTGTGCACAGACTTCCATCGGGACTCCGTACTACACGGCACCTGAAATCTGTCTGGGTAAGCGCTACAACGCCAAAGCAGACGTCTGGAGTCTGGGCTGTGTATTGTTCGAGATGGCGTCGTTCATGCACGTCTTTGACGGTCGCAGTCAACGTCAATTATTTGAAAACATCGTACGCGGCGTGACGCCCCAGCTACCGGCGTGTGGGAACTTGAACAGCATCAAACGTGAGCTACAAGCCTTGGTGGATGACATGCTACGGAAGGAACCACGAGCTCGGCCAAGTGTGAACCAACTCATCCGTCGACCTCTGGTATTAGCTCGAATCCAAACCTTCTTATCGGCTCGTGCACTCGCCTCCGAGCTGAACCACACAGTACTTCATGGAGAGAATATCTTCCGAAAGAAGATAGTACTTGAAGACAAACCCGTGACCATCGCTCAGCAGATACGTCGTGCCGAACCCGTTGCTCGAGTTCCATCAATGAACGCTGTTGCTAAACCTTCTCGTCAGCAACAAAAACTGAGGAGAACTCCTGAAAGAGTGGACTCTCTGTTGGGTGCTAGTCGAAAAGCTCGAGGCCTCCCTGGTGGTCCTTTCAGACGTATTCAAAGACTAATTCAACCAGCTCGAGCTCCTGTCAAAGCCCCCAACGTCGCTAAGCAACGTGCAGTACCTGCCAAGACAAAGCGAGTAGGATCGCAGAGTTCAGCACAAGTCAAGGCGAAACTTAAAGCTCAACTCGAAGCCAACAAAGCCGCTGCTGCCGCAGTGGCTGCACTTCCTGACCCTCCAACCACGTTGAAGTTAAAAGACAAAGATCACAGTCACAATGGAATCTCAGAACGTGCAGCAGCATTCAACGCAAAGGTGAGTCCGATACGAGATACCCTTTTATAATATCTTCTTAAAATGTGTATTTATTCTCCTCTTTGCAGTGGGCTGCCCAGAAAGCGGAACTCGTCAAGAATCTGCCCCCTCCTAGCTCCGTCAAAGGCAGTCGTGAAGAAAACTGGCGTGTCTAGTAAATCTAAGCAACCTGCACGAGCGTATCCGAAGCCGACGGCCATTGGAGTCTCTGGCAAAACACTCAAAAGCAGTAAGCAAACTCCTTCGCCAGCTCCAATGGGAAGTCGTCGCCAACCCTCGAAACAAAAAACTCCAATATCAGCGCCAAGACCTCGAGGCGCTGTAGTCGGTAAGAGTCAGCCATCGTTTCGAGAACATCGACTAGAGTTCCAGCGAAAGAACCGTGATCAACCTCGCACTCCACTGGCGTCTCCACTGGACGACCCCGTCATTTTGGTTCAGCAACTACCCGACTTTAAGTCTCCTCCAGCCACTGTATCTCCTCCTCCAGCCCCAACAACTCTCACCTCGTCCTTACCAGAATGCACAGACAAAGATCCTCCTTCAACACCCAATCCAGACGACGAACAAGAACAAGACTTAACTTCTCTTCCATGGATGGCAAACCTAGAGTTCGAGCGCATGGTGCTGCAACTTAAAAGCGCTATCGAGTCCGACACTACGAGTGACGACGAGAACGACGAAGAAGATGAGAACTCGGACGAGACCTTCGATCCCAACTCTTCTCCTCCACCATATTCCACAAACCCACTGGAGATCTTGAGCATCTCCGTTCTGGAAGACTCAACCTTCCGTTCGGCACTTCAAAAACGTATCCAACAGCTCAAACCGAACACTGCAGCTCCATCTACCGACCAAGTTACTGAAGAAAACGTCGAAGACCATGTCGATCCAACACAACAAGCTACACTTCAGTGGATGCAGACGTACATCACGTCTCTACTGTAAGCCAGCAACTTCTTTCGTACACTTCCAAACATTTGGCTTTGTTTTCTTTCCTGGTACTTACACTAGTATCCAGTTTTCACTCATGACATTCATGTTTTCTCTCTCTCTCCATCTCGAGGCTTCGCTTCCATCTCCCACACACCAGCTCATGGGGATGTCGACGTCAGTCCTCCAACAAGTTCATCTTCAGACAGCTACTAGGCACTGCACGAATCACTACACTCACTCAAAAAATAAAAAAAAAGACACACCACCTCGCTCCTCCCTCGCCCTTGATTTCCACATTTCCTTGGTCGCATATCGGCAGGTCGGACGAATCCCTCGTCTCACTGCTTGTTCGTGTTCGAGGACAAGCGATACATCGATCCCAACGAGCTGCCACCTGCCACGCGGACTTGCATGTGCACCAGCTGCTCCAGACTCGCTGCAGGTGAAGCTTTCGACGTCTTGGACTGTGCTCCACCAACCGCAGAGCGACCTGCGTTCGCCCCGGCCTGCATACTCTCGGCAGCTGACGTGGTCGTGATGGTCACGCTGCGACGACGCGGCACCGGCATCAGTTTTGAGCGCTCCTGGTATTCCTCCGACAGCACCTGCATCTTGCGCGCTCCATCCACGTTCAGCGGCGCGCTCTCGTCGAATTGCTCCAGCAAGCCCATGGTAGCGCACATGGAGCGCAGATGGAAGTAGTACTTGGCGTACGACACTGCAGACACACGCACATTGTACTCCACAGCACTCAGGTACACGAGTTCCAGCTCGTTGATCTGCTTCAGTGAGAGCTCGGGCCAGATCTTGGAGAAGTCGGCGTTGGTCATACTCAAGTCGTCCCAGACTTTCGAGGCCATCACCATCGAGCAGAAGACCAAGCGTCGCCAATTCTCGCCACGCAGCTGCAGAAACCCGCTCGTTGCCTTCAGTAGACGTTCCACATACACCAGACTCATGATGATGCACTCCGACTCCATCTGCGCACGGGAAAGCACGTTCTTGATGAAGGACGCGATCTCCGACAAAGTGGGGACCACATCCAAGATCACATCGTCGTCCTCCACCTCCACAAACGTCGTAGCTTCCGCGTCCAGTTCGTCCGACACAGACGCCAGTCGTTGACGGTCTCGGGTCGTCACGAACACGTCGAAGCGCGGATCCGAGCGGATCGGGTCCTCCAACGCCTCCATCATATGCGCACGTAGGACAGTCGCCACGCACTGGATCGTGGCGTCCTGATCCGGGGCGTTCATCGTCCCCATCCGCAAGTAAATTGAGTTGGTGCTGTTGGAGCGACGTCGAAGAGCACGCGGCTTGTCACTGGATGCAGCTGAAGGTTTGCTCCTCGGTCCTTTCGTGGGCATCAGCGCAGACGTAGAGCTGCCTCTACCCGCCATCATGGCCTGAAGTGACGGTCTTCCCTTGCCGTTAGCCGCTCTCACAGCACGAGCGTAAGCCTCCAAGTCCGAGGCCCGTGGCACGAGAGCTGCTAGACGTACACGCTCTTTAATTGGCGACGGGGCGGCCAGAGACGTCGACGCGCTGCGACCAACTTCGTCCACATCAATACCGTCGCTGCCCTTGCGAGACGACGTCACCACTGGCGTCTCATACGACGACAAAGTTCTAAAGAGTGATGGTCGTTTCTTGCCGTCCTGGTTGTGCTCGCCGGTCTCCGGTTCCTGTTGTGGCTGGTTCTCGTCCGGCATCATGCAGGGTACGCCCATCCCCTCGGGAGTCGTCGGTAATGACCGTGTTGAGCTGATAATAAGCTGACGAGCTGAGCCAGGCAGAGAGCGCGCAGATCCACTCGTGAAAGAGCAAAAACTGCTGCGTACGCTGTTGCAACTCACGGTACTTGCTGACGATCGAGTCGAGAGGTGTGGGGACATCTCGTGCGGCTTGTGCACTGCGTCCGGCGTGCTGTGACTCGAGTTGGACGTCTCGCTGTCGCGTGTGTAGTAGCCATCTCGCAGTTTCAGCCGGATATTGTTCTCCATGACGGAGAAGAACTGGCGCTTCTCACGCGTCTCTGCAGCGACAAGTTCTTCTGGTTTCTTCCATGTCGTCTCGCGGGTGATTGGATGGTAATAGTACGGCTTCTTGGACTTCGGGTCTACAGCCACACGCCAAGCTACAGGCTCAGGAACGGAGCTGCGAGTTGGCGCCGATGTACGTACAGGAACCTGGCTGTGGCCAGATGCTGACGTGCGTACAGGCGCTTGATTGGGAGCTGACGTGCGTACATGCGCTTGACTGGGAGCTGACGTGCGTACAGGAGCCTGGATACGGGACACTGATTCTGGTTTACGGGCTCCTGGTGCTACCGTGTTGGCATCAACAGAGGTGGCTGCGCGTTGACGACTCTGATTGGCTGGTGCATTAGTTGCCGGTCTGCTGCCCCTGCAATTGCCATGGAACGCTCCGCTTTTGCTGTTGCCACGGTGTTCTTCCGTCTGCCGTCGATGTCTGGTGCGGTTCTCCACTTTGTCTCCACTGTGACGTTCCCGTCGCACATGAAATGGCAGATCGTCCTGACTCATTGCGATCATGGCTGGTCGACCAGCTAACTCCTCGTCTCTCTGTGAGAAGTTGGAGCGCTTTGCCACCATCTCGTTGGTCGACGAGCGCTGTAGTCGTGGCTGACGAGGTTGAGGCTGTGGCTGGTTACTCCGCTGAGCTTCTGCGCGTTGCCGAAAAGCGGTTGACCGCATCTGCGACTGTGGCTGACCCTGCTTCATCGTCCCCTGGTGTTGTTGCGGGTACCCTCCAATGTACCCCGTGTACCCCTGTTGCATTTGCATTTGTGCCATGGCTTGCATTCTGGCGAATCGCGGGTCCTGTGCCATGTCCATAGAGCTACTGCCCCCTCTGCTACGATGATGGCGACGCTGCTGCTGCTGACTGGAGCTCGACGGCGCTGCCTGTGGGTGGCCTGTAGTCGTCGTCATATTCATCCGCAGAGGCGACACCACGCTGTAAACGCACAAAGTTTTTTTTCCTCTTCTCTTGTGGCAAATTATCAAGAGTGATGGTGCCGGGTGAAAAAAGACAAAAAAGTCGCGAAAATTGCTGGGCCTGTCCTACCGCTGGGCTCAAGGCTGGCGCGCCCTAGACACTCGGGTTTCGTTTGAGTGGCGCTGGTAGCCACTCGCGCTGCTAAAGTTTCCGCTGCACTTGCTCCCTCGTCGGGAGAAGAAGCCTCTTTGGCAAGCGATTGGCCTCTGGCGGCAAAATATCGCGTTTGCCCCTAGCCCGACCTTTCCACATACAAATCTAAGTCGCACCGAATTTCCGCCGACTTTTACTGCATCAGGTGGCTTGGGCAACAATTGTTGCGTTCTGTATGACGTGCACTTTGAGCGTGGCGATTCGTGCCACGATTTCCGTGGAGAGGTCATGGGAAGGAAGGCCAGCGTTTCCCATGCCTACAAAGTGTCAATAGGATTGGCGAGCCAATTCTCACACATGCCCGTAAAAGCGAGCAGCGTCACCAACCTTGAGCTGCCTGGTCACCCCATCCCGAACCGAGTCTTGACGAATCCACTTGTCGACTTTTTCGCGTCACGGCGGAAAACAGAGGGCGGTGAAGAAGATCGAGCAGGCCAGCCTCAATCGAGTCAGCGTGTGTAACCCCACCTCAGGCTCGGAGCCACGGGGCCAGCATTGGCTCTCGAACTTCGAGCACCAATGCTCCGGACCCAAGTGCTTCGATCCACAAAACTGCTGGCCCAGCAGGCTGACGCCGAAACTTTGTCGGTACATGTATCATGAGAACGGGCGTGACTTACAGCGGTTGACCACTGTTCCAGCGAGAGACCTTGGCAATTTAGCAATCTACTATCTTTTTTCGATCTGTTGGCCAGCTTGGCATTTTCGGTGATACTAACACACGTTAAGCGGCCAGCCCATGCGTCCTCCAGCATCTGGGTGGTCGACATAGCTGTTACATGTTCCGGTATTACCTCTCCAACAACACCTTTGGCGATCACCAAGGCAGTTGATGCATGTTGGTTGAACATGGATGTACAGTAGTCAGTCGGTTCTTGTTCACTTGTGGACTGATTCACAAGTTGTGAATCGGTCGCCGAGACGAAAACACTGTCGATCACCGAAAAACAGTGATGGATTGAGCTGGTCGTCAACGACGACAACTGAAGTCGATAGACAGAGCAGTGCCACACCTTTGAGTCAAAGTTTGACTACAGTAGCGCCGCAGTCACCGTGCGAAATGGTCGGGCCCAGAACACTGACTGCTACAGCATGTACTGTACAGAAGTAGTAGCAAGCTGCTTTCGTTTGTCGTCCTCAAACTGAAACCGATCGCTGAGCATATACTACAGTAGTACAGTAATGTGCCTCAATAGCGAGCACCACACATTCACTATAGATAACAATATATTGGATATAACGGGGGCTCAAACGCTAAATTGCTTTCCTGAGCATATTAAATGTCGAGTGCTTTCTATTGAGACATACTACTGTACTACGTATGGATACAGCCGAAACAATGCATACTGACTGGATCGACCTTAATAAGCAAACTGGCACGTGAAAGTAACATCGCGGATTTCTATGTGTGATAGTACCCGCCAACTCAACATTTAACATTAGAGAACTTCTCACTAAGAAAACTGCATGTGCTCGAACCTTCGATGGAATGAAGTCACCGCTGCAATGAGGATCTCATTTAATCGCGACGGACGCGGCGAAGGGTGCACTTCGGGTTCGTACCAGGCATGGAAGGGGTCTCTTCGCTCGAGGACGAAGTTGTAGGTGCTGTCGTTGCGGATGGGGTGGTCTCTTCGCTTGGTCCCGATGCAGCAGTTTCTTCACCACCGGCGCCCGACGACTCGGTCACGTCACCTGAAGAGGTAGTATCATCGTCCCCTGAAGAAGTCGGAGAGGTCTGCTCGGTATGATCCAGTGGAAGGGGTCTCCTCAGCCGACGAGCCAGTGGTAGGAGTCTCCTCGGTCGACGATCCAGTAGATGGTGTATTTTCGGTCGATGAACCAGTGGAAGGAGTTTCTTCAGTCGATGAACCAGTGGAAGGGGTCTCCTCAGTCGACGAGCCAGTAGATGGTGTTTCTTCGGTCGATGAACCAGTGGAAGGAGTATCTTCGGTCGACGATCCCGTGCTGGGGGTGGAAGGATTCTGCTCGATCGAAGAACCAGTGCTGGAGGTAGAAGGAGTCTCCTCGGTTGATGAACCGGTAGAGGGAGCAGTTGTCGTCTGAGCACCCGTCGAACTGCTGTCACCCGACTGCGTTGGCGTGGAGCCACCCCCGCTGCCCGTGTTGACAGTAGCCGAGTACTTGGACACAGTCATGGTCACATCTTTGCCGATAAAAGGCTCAGTGCCACACTCAACCTTGATCAAGTATTGGCTGGTCTTAAAGCTGTGGCTTTTCACAAGGTAGTTGAAGAACTCCATGAGGTCACCCTCGAAGTTCTCGACCTGCTTGAAGGCGACGAACGAGTACACCATCATCTGTCCGTTGGGTCCGCTGTAGACGCTCCACTCGGTGCCTGCGATGGTAGTCGTGGCTAAAGCCTTGCCGGTGCTCGAGATCGGGCCGGCGCCACCGATGGCAGCCAGCCAGATCATGATCTCGAACTCCTTCTCGCCCTTGGCAGTAGAGCTCGTGAACAGATCATAGGCAACATCGGCCACAACTTTGCCACTGTACTTGACCTTGTACGACATAGTCGACGGAATGGATTTGACCTCCGTAAGAGGCACAGGTTCGAACTCTAGAGCAGCATTAGCATAAGACTTGACCTCCTTGTCACCACCCTGCCACGACCAGGTTGTTTGCCAGGCGACGGTGTCTCCGGATCCGCTGTTCAGACTGGTACATTGCTTGCTGCCCCCGGTAGCCGCACTGGACCCCCACAGGTTGTTGTAGATAATGTAGTTACCCGAAGTGGTCTTGCCCCATTGGTCACAGAATTCCTCGGCATAGGTTGCCGACATGGCCGCAGCAGTCAGAGCAGCAGCGAAGAACACCTTCATACCTGTCGAGTTGTTGCCTGGAACCTGGCCAATCGCTGAATGGCGGGCTCCAATCCCCCAGGCTGCAATTCGTGTGCTGGTCAACACTTATAATACCTGGTGCCTATGCAGCACGCTTCGTGAGAGTAGACAATGGAAATGACACATGGTGCGGATCCTATGCTGTTAGCAAACTTGTTCCTGCACGGCAGATGGCAACGAGATAGCAACAGTTATTATAGTTGAAGATAGCTAACATGTACAGGTATTTGACAAAATGTTCTGAGCTCTTTTCACGTGATATGATTGGTAGAAAACAGCGTTTATTCTTTACATGTACGTTCCGACAACGGTATTTGAAACAGCTGCTCTGCTCAGAAGTTTTTGTTTACGGTCAAAATACGGCAGTTCCAACAGTGTTTTGGTATGACTTGCCAATTCTCATTACAAGGATATTATTCACACAATTGATATGTTCCTTCACACCATATAAAATAACTCTGATGCTCGCAGCATATTCGTGATGTGCGGGCCTTCAAGGTGGAGGTCAGGGAATCCGACAAAGTACATACAATGGTACGCGTGGGGTGCATGGACATGTGTTTTGTCGAGCCACTTGAAAACATCACAAGGCCTCGTACGATGTCTAGTGGCTGTAAGTAAAGATGTAAGACTGCCTAGTTCTATTGTCTCGTTTTCTAGCTTTTGATTTTGACTTTACCAATTGTCGTAGCTATTGTATTTGAAGACCTCCTGTGATGATAAAAGGTGACCATCTACCGTACTTTGTTTTATTTAACTTTTTCTAAAGATGCCATATATGCATTGAGACGCGAGACCCCGTCTGTTATCACAACAGTGTTGTGCACCGACTTATGAAGTTCACAACCAAAAGAGCTGCCGGTACTCTTCCGATTACATGTAGCTTGCTTTTGCGAACTTTATAGTTTGAAAACTCCGTATGTGAATTCTCCTTCTGCTTGCAATCACTGCGGCTGGTAGATACATGCACTACACGCTGCCGCAGATGTTGTCCACTCTGCTGTGGCGTGTAATAAACCTGCCCGCTCTCAAAGTAACGTCGGCCTACTCGCCAACGACCAAAGAAACAGTGAAATTCACAAACAATTAGCTGGTCATCCGCTACCCTCAAGCGGGCAATCTTCTACTACTGAGGCAGTTTCTTATTTTATTTTGCTACTACTCAGTCCTACGAATTTTCAAGCATGTTGTGACGGTGACGTTTTTAGCCTTATCTAATTCGTTTCGGCAGGCTCCTATAAAAAAGAACAGCGCGTCGATTGCTTTGATCATTAAAAAACAACATCTTTTCGCTACCGCTAAGCGTATAGGTCAGAGCGGGAAGTTGGAAAAAGGGACTTTTCAGTTTTAAAACTTTCCGAGAAGACGAGGCCATTAATATTACAGACCTGGTTTTAAAAGGTCTAGGTTTATTGCAATCACCACCTGCTAAATTGGAGTTTTTTTATGGTACCATCTCAAAAGTAGCCTACGCCAACTGCAGTTTACCCTAAAAGCCGATCTTTAGGGCTACAGTAATCGAGTTCGAATCCAGCGTGTTCTGTTACTAGACTAAATATGCGTTCTAGGTTAGTACAATCTTATTATTATTATTATTGTTATTAACTAGCCGATAAATTAGGTTTAGTTCTACATGTTTTGGCCTTCCCGCCTCCGCTACGCTTTGGCGGGGTAAATATATAAAATAAACGCAAAGCTCATATGCGCGTCGATACTTTAATTTCATCAATCTGGGTCAGCATCATGCTTAAAAATAATTAAATAATGATCATGAATCATGATTCTTACTACAACCTCTTTACTATTGTTAATTATCACTGTATCTTCATCTTTCACCCAAAACCACCTGCGCTTCTAATAACTTTTATACAAATGCCACACAATATGTTTAGTTTAGCGTCGTGCTCGATACCACGGGCCGTTTCTGAGCTATAAAACCTAGCTCACATCAACACAGAAGATAGAAATGGCGTGTTCATCTTGCACTACTTACCCGCTTGTACTGCTGTTTAATCTTGTAAGTAACTAAAGATTGTTCACCTCTCATACCAAAGCTAAAAAAAATCAATTTTGTACATTTTAATGTATAAAGCGCTCAATTTGTGCTGTTTCAGAAGGAGTCATTAGACACTCTAATCTATGCCAGTTATGAATAAAGCATTTGGATAATGCGTCGCAAGACGCGTTGCTGCTGTTGCTGTTGACGGTAGTGTTTTCTATTTGATATTTTTTTAACGATGATTCCAGGATTATTGGACGTCATTTAGGCTCCAAGTTTATAAACGCATCTTTATGGGGTCTACTTAATCAACTACTTCAAGTATAATTTTCACCTCTCGTGTTGTGTTGTTGTCTTGCCGCTCAATTTAATATCGTAGCCTACGCACCTGTCGACGACACGTCCGCCAGCTAAATAGTATCGGATTTGTTGTCTAAACAACTCTTAGAAAACAATGGTTTACAGCAGAAACACATACTAGTATGAGTTCATTTTATTCAATCTTAAAATATTTATTTTTATGGATCAAGTGACAATGTTTATTGGCACAGCGTTGTTCTTACGGCCAGCTTCTGTTGTACGTGTACTACTATTTGGCATTTCAGTCAGTTACCTCACACTCATATATATTCTTAATATTTTTACAGCAAAACAGCTGTAGCTTTTATTTAAATCATTGTATTAACGAGCTATTGTTCGCACTCCATTTGCTCGTGGCAATCGGGTCTCTATCGTGGCCGCATGTGACGCGCGCGGCTTCTTTGCTTGGAGGACATCTCGCGGCACCTTTACTCGCCTCAAGTTTCATCGTGCTTTCATCGGCTCGGTATTGAAGCACTTGAGCCCGTGGCCGCTTCCAAGATCAATAGTCGTGCTGGACAACGCCCGTATTCATATGTATGCCGAGTTCGAAACCGCTGTTCACTCATGTGGAGCTGTACTGTTGTTTTTACCGCCTTACTGCCCTTAATTCAATCCGATCGAAGTGTTATTCGGGCAGTTAAAGAGGTGATTAGCTCGACATGCGAATTTGGCGTTTGGTCTGTACCCCGAAAGGGTATTAAAGGTTGCTATGCCAAGATGCACGAAATACGAAGATGGTGGAGGTACAGGTCTGTTCAGACATTGCGGATACGATGAAGGTGGTTTAAACGAGGCTGTCTTCGAGCGAGAGCTAGATTTATTGCAGTAGGACCGCGGGGAGGCGGATGGGAGGAGATTGGTGGGGTGGGTGGGAAACTTCGAGCGAAGCGAGATAAAAAACCAATATACGCGTGTATTTGCCTTTGATATGGCTGTTATGGCTCCCTTTACTCTTCTTCTATAAAATGGTCTTCGTCGACCATATCTTCGGTCGGTTCAGCTGGGACGTCGAATGAGGAGAATACCCCTTCAGCTAGTAGGTTGTGATTCGGTAAGCCAAGAATGGTTCGTATTTACGCACGTTAAACGAAAGCTGTAGATCTGACGAGCCATTCAGCTGTACAGTGATCGTTTGCAGGTTGCTCTCGGTTCTTGTAGGCGTTGGCAAAGGTCGCATTGAGTCAAGATGCTGCATCTGGCGAAAAGCTGCATTATCCGGTACGGATGGGGCTGTACCTTCAGGCTGTCTGGCATGGGTGGTCTCCCAATAAGTACGGGCAATAGGTCCGACTTGGACGTCGCCACGCTCCAATAGATAGCGATCAATTGCACGGGCAGCGTCTTGGATTCTTGACACTGTCGCCCTCCGTATTCCTGCAGCCTGAGTAGTTGTCTCTTTTGCAGCAAATACAAACAGCTTTACAGCAAAGGGGCCTTTGTTTGTCCTGCACTTCTGGTGATGACCTCTTGCAATATCTATATAGTGCTTCCAGTTTCCAGGTGTCAGCGCAACCCACTCTGCCTGCTTGGCCCCAAGTCCTGGCTTCAAGTACATTGCTGTGTCGTCTCGCGTGGTTTTGACTTTGTATATCCGCAGAGCAGGACTAGCAATCCTTTCAACTTTAATCTGTAGGTCTTCGAACAGCTCGTTATCTTCGTCAAATGTAAAGTTTGGCTCCTCGATGCTGACGTTTGTTCGACTGGTCTTGGTGATGCTTCCTATTTTAACAGATACACACACTAGAGTCATTGTTCAATTTGCTGTCGAATTTAGTTGTGCTAGACTCGGAATGCCGTCTAGGGATCGGACAAACCGACCGATTTGTTTCTAAATCTGGCGGCGAAGTGATTTATTGATAAATCGGCCCATGTTTTCAATCTCATAAATAGCACTACAAACGAGATCATTCATCAGTAATTTGCTGCAAGCCTAACTTTATAAACTATTAATAAGACGCTTGGGATCTTATTTAGAGTATAAATCGGCGGATTTGTAATTCAATTAGACAAACTAATCGGTTTTCACAATAACTTGCACAAACTATTAAGAACATAGTATTACGTATAATATAGTATGGCCTCAAAAACAAGCATTCCTACGTGTACGCTAAACACCTTGCAGCATAGGAAGCGTCTTTAGAGGTTATTTCATTTGAGAATAAGTAGCTCTGTCTGTTTAGAGCTCAAATATTAAAAGCAAAATGCATTATTAACCCTTTCGTGTTCAACTGGGGCATTTACCTCTTTCATGCTGTTTCCAAAACCTGAGAGTAAAACGGTTGTGAAAGGGGTCAAAATGCCCCAGTTGACGAAAGTTCAAGTCAACACCGCACCGTGTTCTATAACTACCAATCGTATCCCTTTGCGCCGCCCCGTCTTTGAGAGTGGATTTGCTTTGCACTGTGTGACCAATGATTGGATGCCATTAGTTTTCATACAATACCTAAGACACCTTGCTCTCTTGTTTCCATACAAAAATCACCAGGCGTACTCACTCAGTCAGCTAGAGCACGGTGCGCACCTCAATCACCTTTGACGACTTGTGCAGATTGCGCGCTGCTACGAGGATGCAGGCCGAAGGGTGTCCTGGCGCGACGTTGCCCTCAGAATGCGCCAAACAGGACACGCGCCGGCCTCTCTGCAGCAGCGTCTCCGATCGCTGAAGCGAACGCACGGAACCACGTTGGCAGACTTCCCACCAATTGTTTTTACACCAGTTAAGCGGCCACGGGGAAGGCCGTCAGCCGTCATGCGGCGGCTTCGAACATTAGCTGTTGCTCCACACTTACCAAGGTCATCATCTCGCAGAGCGCTCACTTTGTCACGAGGAGAAACGCTGTCCCCAAATATCGAGATATCAGAGCTCCATCCATCACCACCATTCGTAGATCAACCACTGTCACCACAATCACTCATTATAACGCAGACGCTTCCGCTCTCTTCGTCTTCTACTGAAGAAGCTTTGGCTGAGATATTCGGTGATATTCCAAGGGAGCTGGTTCTAGCGTATGACAACAAAAATGTTGGCGAGGTTCTTCCTGCTGGAGTTAGTATGCTGCTGAACGAGATGGAGGACATCAATGACCGTGATATATTTGTTGACATTGGATCTGGGCTCGGGAACGTTGTGGCCCAAGAGGTGCTATCAACGAATGGTTACCGTGCCGTCGGAATTGAAGCCCAACAACACGTGCA